TCAAGGCTGCTTTTATTTGATCAAAAATACAGAAAAAAACTGTAATCTTGTAAAATGTTATTACAATATAAATTAATGGTTTCTATTTTAATATACATTAAAATGTAATTTATTTCTGTGATCAAAGCTGTATTTTCAGCATCATTACTCCAGTCTTCAGTGTCACATGATCTTCAGAAATCATTCTAATATGCTGATTTATTATCAGAGCTGGAAACTGTTGCTGCTTCATATTGTTTTGGAAACTGTGATACTTTTTTTCAGGATTCTTTGATGAATAAAAAGCTAAAAAGAAGAGCATTTATTTAAAATAGAAATCTTTTCTAACAATATACACTACAGTTCAAAAGTTTGGGGTCAGTCAATTTATTTATTTTTTTTAAAGAAATTAAAACTTTTATTCAGCGAGGATGTGTTAAATTGATAAGAAGTGATAACAAAGAGTTATATTGTTAGAAAAGATTTATATTTTGAATAAATGCTGTTCTTTTCAACTTTTTATTAAACAGAATCCTGATAAAAAGTATCACAGGTTTCAACATTGATAATAAATCAGCATGCGGCAGTGTAAGTGATCCACAAAACCATCCTGGATAGAAAGCAGGACTGCTAAAGATCAGCAGAGATCAGTACCTGCGACGGGCTCCGCACAGACAGGAAGTCCTGCACAGGAAGTAGCAGCTGCAGTCTGGAGTCAATGTGACGGAGACTGTGGAGTTCAGACGGTTCAGGACCGAAACCTTCACAAACTGATAGAGTCGACGAGACCACCTGGAAACCAGAGGAGAAATAAATAACTCACCCAACAATGAAAAGAAGTGTATTTCCACCCGGCCTTCAGCACATTTAACCCCCCAAAAAAAGAAGATATTCTCAAGAACGTTTGAAACCAAACAATATTGGACCCCGTTGACTTTATATGAACTTCCTCAAAATATGTCAGAATGATGAAGTCAGATGGTTGAATGATAATTTTTCAGGCTTTTATGGCTCATGTAGTCTGAAATAGTGAGAAAAACAGCTCAATTTTATTCAGAGCAAAAACATGAATCTGCTGCAGATGCTGATATTTATATGATGAAATTCTGCTGCTTGTGATGTAAATCAATGAGAGATTTATAACAGTGCAGCAGATGCTGACATAAAATGATCTAAATATCAGTGGTCGCTCTATATCTCCAGTAATATAAGATGAGCTTGAAATGCTCCAAACATATAATGCAGTGATTGAGAGCTGAAGAAATAAAGGCTCCTCAGAAGATGTGAGATGTTCTGGAGGCTTGTGAAGATCATTCCTCCGCTGAGGAACAGTGAAAGTAAAGCTTCTGGAAACAAACGCTCCTCAAAAGATCCTGAGGATCAGATTTGAGACTCTAAAACATGATTGATGGAGAATCAAGTAAAGCTGAGCTGCTTCAGTCCAGTAAGAGTTCATCTGGAGATATTACTGCAGTTATTCTGACGCTTACTTGATCAAAATCAGTCAAGATTTGACTCGTGAAGCTCCAGCTCCAGAATTACACTGAAAGAGCTTCGACTGAATAAACCTCTAAACTCTCAATCAGAGACAGAAGATGTGCAGCAGATTGAGTGACAGCAGAGTTTGATCATGCGGATCATATTAAATATGATAAAGCAGGCTTTATAGGGTTAAACAAAGTTCAACATGATTAAAGGATTATCAATAGGAAGCTAAACAGCTAAACATTTATTATCTGAGGGTAAAGACCTCAGCAGGCCTCTGTCACAGATGTCATGCTGTTTTGCAGAAGCGCTCACATGAAAATGAAGCCCAGCGGTTTTCCTGGTATTTGCTCTTGGACTTCACACAATATCCTGACTGCTGCTCTCGGACGCTCGGCCAAAGAGCCCTTTAAAGCCAAATATCTAAGTCTTGACTAATATCCTTCTGTTTCCCAATGAGCGAATCTCCCATCAGGCCGAGCGGCGAGCGCTGAGGTCAGAAGTAGGCGGGGTGAGGTAAGCGTTGGCATGCTGCCTGCGTGCAGCAAAGACTTATGGGTAATTAAAAGCCTCACTATAATGACTGTGAGCTCATAGATCCACCGTACTGAACTGCAATATGAACGTATAGCTCCAGATAATAATAACAGACGTTACTGCACAACATATGGAGGTTATAAGAGTGGTTTTTTTGTATCATTGAGAGTTTTTGTTAATATTTTGAATTGGATTTTATTTTTATATTTTCTGCTTTCATGTTAATTTTAGTTAAAGTTTTAGTAGTTTTGTTGTGTGTTTTTTTTTTTTGTCTTTTAAATATGTCTATTTATTTTTTTATTTTAATTTTGTTTTAGTTTTAGTTATTTTGTACATCAAGTCAAACGTAATGAAAATGAGAAACGTTGCCTTGGAAACTAGCTTATATTTTATTTCAGTTAACATTTATTTTATTTTAAGTAACGAAAACGTTTAAAACAAACTTTTTAAAAAATGTTTTTTAATTCACTATAATAACCCTGGGTTATAAACAGTTGGATGCTATGTTTAATAATAATCTTGCATTTGAAGAAAATACAAATCATAAGAAAACCTACATTAACATGCACACTGGCAGCAAAAAGTTTGGAATAATTCAGATTTTTTAATGTTTCTGAAAGAAGTCTCTTCTGCTCACCACGGCTGCATTTATTTGATCAAAAATACAGTAAAACTATGAAATATTATTACAATTTAAAACAGCTGTTTTCTATGTGAATCTCTGTTAAACTGTAATTTATTTCTAGAAGCGCATGTGTGAGAATACAGCGAGATCAAAACCAAGGTAACCGGCTTCGTTGCGCTTGCAAAGCTGCATTATATAAGATGCACGGTGGATATTGTGTGAATTAACGTTTATTCTTCTAATGAAGTGTATTTATTGTAACATAAATAGTTTATTTTGTGTAAACTGTGTTGATAATTTCCAGTAACGGTTGTATAGCGTTCCGTGTCGGGCTGTTGATACGCACCATTACGCGATACGCGATTAATGATGAGGTGATGTAGAGCGAGACCCATCATACAGTGATGCAGTGATCCATCATACTTTAATGTGCTTTGGCCTTCAGCGCTCGTGAGCATTAAAACACAGCCGTACGATGGAAATAAGCCCAACAACACCATCCGCAGCATCTCTCTGTCTAGAAGCATGAGAATAAGTGCACGACAGCGATTAATGATGAGGTGATGTAGAGCGAGACTCCAGCAGAAGACAGCTGCGGTGCAGTGATCCATCATACTTTAATGTGCTTTGGCCTTCAGTGCTCGTGAGCATTAAAACACAGCCGTACGATGGAAATAAGCCAAACAACACCATCCGCAGCATCTCTCTGTCTTTACAAATGTACTAAAGTCAGACAGAGCAACACTAAAACATCAGCGAACAGCCCTACATTAACCACAGACCAACATTAACATGGAGAAGCTTCTGCTCTCTATTATAGCTGTGGAGGATCTGTGTGTTTGGAGAGTTTTAAACTGAAATACACAGAAATGATCCTAAAATACAGTTACACATTGTCGCCGGGTCGATCTGCAGGATTTCTTGCTGTGATGAATATGTGGAACACATGGAAGCCCCTTTCTGCCACGGAATAAAAAAATTTATTAAAAATAAGATCATTGTAATTGTTTATCTCATAATTCGGACTGTTTTCCTTGCAACTGCAAATTTATATTTTGCAATACTGACTTTTTTTCTCAGAACTTCAATTTTTACATTTTCTCAGAATTCTGAGTTTATCTCACAATTATTACTTTATTTCTCAGAATTCTAAGATTATATCTCACAATTATTAAATTTTTCTTAGAATTCTAAGATTATATCTCACAATTATTGAATTTTTCTTAGAATTCTAAGTTTATATCTCACACTTATTACATTTTTCTTAGAATTCTAAGTTTATATCTCACAATTATTACATTTTTCTTAGAATTCTAAGATTATATCTAGGAGGATCCAAACATCTGCGGTCCTGTTCGGCCTCCGCACTAATTACAGAAATCGCTTTGCAAAGGAAAGAAGAACGCTATTAACATAAGAGGCCAATTCCTGTGCCGGTGAGATGGGAATCAGATGAAAAGAACTCGTAAACACCAGCGGAATGAAGAACAACGAGTCACTTCAAACACACCGAAACGGTTCAACTCGACTGTTAATGAAGTGTAATACAGAGTCTTAGAGGATTGATCACTAGTACTAGTGAAGACTAATATACGTGTATGAAGCCGTACCTGCGGTTCAGTCAGCAGGTCGCTGCAGTTCTCTTCTTCCTCTAGATCTTTCAGCAGTTCCTCTATTCTCTCTTTCTCCTGCTGCGTGAGCAGAAACGAGTTTCCTGACGCTTCTGTGAGCTGAACAATCACAAACACCTTCAGTCAATTAATCAAACATATTCTTCATGATCCAGTCACTACATAAACTCATGTTCTTCCTCAGCATTTCTGTCTCGTTTTCCATTTTTGTTTTAAGATTCTTAAATCAAGATTCATTTACTGTGAATGACAAACTATAAGAAGTCTTGTTTTATGAGAAATTGATCAAAGTGAGTTAATCTGCAAATGGACTAAAAAAAAATCAACTTAATTCAAAGGGAAAACAAGTTTCATTTTCCACTGGCAGATATTTGTTCTTAGACTGTTTTAAGCATAAACTCACTTCATTTTGGTAAATTTTTCAAGACTTCATATCTTAAGAATGTTTAAATATTTGTATTAGAAGACACAAATACTGAGGAAGGTATTCATTTTTTGCAGTATATGCAACATTTAAGGCCACAACTGTATGTAATTTAAGACTTTCTTTTCTAATTTAAGACCTTTTAAGGCTTTAATTTGAGGAAGGGTGAGTAAAGACTTCTTAAGACCCACAGAAAGATACATTTGCTGGATATGACAGAAAATGACAGAAAATAAGAGATCTTGTTTTCCAGAAATTGATCAAAATGAAGTGAGTTTACGCTTAAAACAAGAACAAATATCTGCCAATGTGGTCCAAAAAATCAGCTTTGAATTTAGTTGATTTTTCTGAGCTCACCGGCAGAAATTTGTTCTTGTTTTAATCATAAACTCATTTTCTGACCACTTTCTTTTCTTATCTGATGTGCTTCTGCATCTCCAGTAAATTTAAGAAATTTGTACTGGAAAACAAGTCATAAATACTGAGGAAGAGCATCAGTTTCTGCAGTGGAGCTGGAATCAATTTTGCAGAAAAACAGAGCGGTTTCAATTCTACATTACACTATAATTCCATTCTGTGCTCTCATGAATGGATGTCTTTCCATGTTTAAAGACCCCATGAAATACAAATGTCAGTTTTGCACAGGAAAACATACCAAATTTCTCAATGACATCATAATACACTCTTTTCTGTCCAATCAGAAGCTCTGTAGAATAAGCAAGCCCCTCCCCCTGAGACCACCTGACTCTGAGCATCAATATCACATTCAGACTTTTTAAAAACAAACGGGACGAGCCCTTCAATAAACCGTACGCCAGCAGCTCCTTCCAGCATTCTTCACCCACATGTTCAGTCGTATGACTCTAATCGTGACCTCGACATACCTCAATATTTCTCTTGACAAAGTCTTGTCTGCGCTTGCTGCGAGCAGCTCCTCGCTGTCTGCTGTCTGACGGCTGATCCTCCATCACCTGCTGACCCGCTTCAGCGTGACCTGCATCACACACACACACACACACACACACACACACACACACACACACACTATTATGGTCTGTTTCTCACAAAGTTATTATATGCCTTCAGAAGTCATACAGAGGACTTCGGATCTCAGTCACCATTCACTTTCATGGAAAATATCAGCTTAAACATGATAAACCTCATTCCTCAGAAGAAAGAAAGTCATACAAGTTTGGAACAGCACTGCAAATCATGACTTTTTGAGTGAAAACATGGCAACATACAAACCATAAAACAGATCAAATGCAGTTTGCTTATAATACGTCCATAAGAGTACCAGTGCACATTTCAAGTGTAATATTCTAATTCAGCAAATTGTAGGAGCACAGAGACAACACACACTCACACACACACACACAGAGACACAGACACACACTCACACTTACACACACACCACACACACACAGAGACACAGACACACACTCACACTTACACACACACACACACAGAGACAACAGAGACAACCCCCACATTACCAGGAGTTTCAACTGACTTTATGGTTTTATATTGAGCTAATGATATTGTCTGTCCCCCAGTCCTCACAGAAACCTTTCTGATTTTTTTTTACGTTTTCAGTAAAGGTTTCATTAATTTAGCCGCTTGAAGTACAGGGACAGTCGCGTTGTGGGTAAAGTCAGGTTTGCTTACATTATGAATCCATTTTTGGTTCTATGGTGTAGGTCAAACCAGCACACACACAAGCAAACATAAGGAAAAGGCTGCTATAGTAAATACAAAACAATACAGTGTACACACAATACATCTTATTTGTCCATGTGAAGTTATTAAACACATAAATATCCAACAGCACAGTTGATCTGGAAACAGCATACGTCTTTAATTTATTTACAAGAGTAAATATTTATGTCTAACTTTTAAAAATTATATACTGTACTTTAACTAGTATTACATTTTAAACTTACATTTAAAGGGGTCATATGATGCTGCTAAAAAGAACATTATTTGGTGTAATGAAATGTGTTTATGCGGTTTAAGGTAAAAAAAAAAACACATTATTTTCCACATACTGTACATTATTGTTTCTCCTCTATGCCCCGCCTTTCTGAAACGCGTCGATTTTTACAAAGCTCATCGGTCTGAAAAAGAGAGGTGTGCTGTGATTGGCCAGCTATCCAGTGCATTGTGATTGGCCGAATACCTCAAG